GGAACTCACTCTCAACAATGTGCTGCATGTACCGGACATTCACAAGAATCTTGTTTCCGGATCTTTGTTGAGTAAGAATAGGTTTAGGCTAGTATTTGAGAGTGATAAATTTGTACTTACTAAGAATGAGATGTATGTAGGAAAATGTTACATGTCTGATGGCCTTTTCAAGTTAAATGTAATGACTGTTATACCCTCAGTTATTAATAAAAATACATCTTCTTCTTACTTGCTTGAGTCTTCAAACTTATGGCATGGTAGACTAGGACATGTTAATTATGGATCTCTGGTAGATTAATTAATATGGAATGTTTACCTAAATTTGACATTGATTCAAATCATAAATGTGAAATTTACGTTGAGACAAAATTATCTAAAACTCATTTTCATTCAATTAAAAGAAGTACGGAACCATTTGAATTAATTCATAGTGACATTTGTGATTTTAAATCAATTCAAACAAGAGGTGGGAAAAAATATTTTATCACTTTAATAGATGACTATACTAGATATAATTATATTTATTTAATTCGAACCAAGGATGAAGGTTTGGAAACTTTCATTCAATATAAGAATGAAGTTGAAAATCAACTTGGTAATAAAATCAAGAAATTTAGAAGTGATAGAGGTGGTGAATATGAATCACCTTTTGGTGAGTTTTGTAAAGAACATGGAATAATTCATCAAACCACCGCTCCTTACTCACCTCAGCAAAATGGAATTACTGAAAGGAAAAATAAGACTTTAAAAGAAATGATGAATGCCATGTTAATAAGTTTTGGATTACCTCAGAACTTGTGGAGGGGAAGCAATACTTTCTGCAAATTATATTTAAATAAAGTATCCCGAAAGAAAATGAATCAAACACCTTATGAATTGTGGCATGGAAGAGTACCATCCTACAAATACTTAAAAGTGTGAGGGTGTTTGGCTAAAGTGGCTATTCCTAGTCCTAAAAAGACTAAGATAGGTCCTAAGACCATTGATTGCATTTTCATTGGTTATGCCAAGAATAATAGTGCATATCGGTTTTTAATTCATAAATCAGAACATTCCGAAATACATGTAAATACTATTATTAAATCTCGGAATGCATCTTTCTTTGAACATGTATTTCCAAATAAAACTGGACAAGAAACTAGTAACAATAAAAGATCTCATAATGCTATTACTAGTCAAGATCAAGAACATGATCAAGAATAAGAGTTAGATCAAAATGAGGAAGAGGAAACCTAGGCGTAGTAAACGTGCTAGAACCTCAAAATCTTTTGGTCCAGATTTCCTAACATTTTTGTTAGAAAATGAGCTTTTAACTTTTAAAGAGGCTATGTCCAGTCCTGAAGCTCCTTTATGGAAAGAAGCTGTCAACAGTGAAGTTGAATCCATCTTGCAACATCACACTTGGGAATTGGTAGACTTACCACCAGGTTGTAAACCTCTTAGGTACAAGTGGATTTTCAAAAGAAAAATGAAAGCAGACGGATCAATTGACAAATACAAGGCAAGACTTGTGGTCAAAGGTTTTAGACAAAAAAAAGGTCTTGATTACTTTGACACATACTCACCGGTTACTAGAATAACATCCATTAGAATGCTGATTGCCATTACATCTCTATACAATCTAGAAATTCATCAAATTGATGTAAAGACCGCTTTCTTAAATGGTGAGTTAAATGAAGAAATTTACATGGAACAACCAAAGGGTTTCTCTGTTCCAGGAAAAGAAAAGGAAGTATGTAAATTGGTTAAATCATTATATAGTTTAAAACAAGCACCAAAGCAATGACATGAGAAATTTGACAAGGCAATGATGTCAAATGGTTTTAAAATTAATGAGTGTGACAAATGTGTTTATATTAAAAATACAGACAAAGGTTATGTCATTGCTTGTCTTTATGTGGATGATATACTCATCATAAGTAGTAATAATGAAATGATTAAAACTACCAAGAAAATGTTGTATAAACATTTTGACATGAAAGACATGGGCATTGCTGATGTAATTCTTGGTATGAAAATTACCAAAACATCAGAAGGATATGCTTTGTCCCAATCTCATTACATTGAGAAAATACTTGACAAATTCAGCAAGATGAACACCTTTAGATGTTAATTTGTATCTTTCTAAGAATGTACAGGAAAATATTTCTCAATTAGAGTATGTCTAAATTATTGGAAGCTTAATGTACTTGATGAACTGCACTCGCCCGGATATAGCTTATGCAGTAAGTAAATTAAGTAGATATACGAGTAACCTAGGAGTAGAACATTGAAAAGCAATTATAAGGGTTTTAAGATTTATCTGATTTACTCATAACCTTGGGCTTAATTATACTAGATATCCAGCAGTACTTGAAGGATACTGTGATGAAAATTAAATATCGGATACTAGAGACTCAAAGTCCACTAGTGGGTATGTCTTTACTCTTGATGGGGCGACTGTATTTTGGAAATCTTCCAAACAGACTTGTATTGCTAGGTCAACTATGGAATCAAAATTCATAGCTTTAGACAAAGCAAGGGAAGAGGCAGAATGGCTTCGCCACCTCCTTGAAGATATTTCAATATGGCCAAAACTAGTGCCTGCTATATGCATACATTGCGATAGTCAATCAGCAATAGGTAGAGCACAGAGTCATATTTATAACGGTAAGTCACGACACATTTGTCGTCAACATAACACTGTGAGACAACTACTCTCTAATGGAATTATTTCCATTGAATATGTGAAGTCGAAAGACAACATAGCGGATCCACTAACCAAAGGGTTAGCAAGAGAGCTAGTTGAAAATTCATCGAGGGGAATGGGACTAAAGCCTATTAAATAAGAGTTACCACAACGGCAACCCAACTTAGTTGACTGGAGATCCCAATATCTAGGTTCAAAGGGACAACCGAGTTGTGTATGACTCAGAAGGATCACTAGGGAGTTAAACTCCTACCCATTTTTATGATGAAATAGTGATGTTTGCAGCGTTTTAGGTTAAGTAATACTTTTAATGATTCTTATATCTAGGTATATCTAGTGGAGTATGGCAGGATACTCTTCATAAGAATCACCTATATGAGTGTGAACTGGGCCGGTTCTATGAGATTTGTGAAGGGCTACAATTCTCTAGAGCACTCATGAAAGACCAGGTTGTTCAGGGCCAAAATGAACACAATAGTGAGAACTAAACTGTGTCTGGGAATATACTGTATAAGTTCTATTGTCTTGGTTTACACAAACGGCTGAACAGTTCAAGACATCGTGTTCACTGGTTAGCTAGTAAATCCGATAGTGTCTCCCAAGGGAAGGTTCAAAACCAAAAGCTACCTATCTTTTGCAGAATATTTCCAATTTCTGTACTCTGTAATTAGATCATGTTGTTGCATTTTCTCTCCGTCAAATTCCATTCATGTGGGAGATTGTTGGAAAAATAGGTTTATAAAGGCTTATTTTGGGTCATCTTGGAGCCCAAAATTGAGTGGGTCCCGAACGTCTTTTGGGCCGGGTCCGAAAAGGTGAAGTGTTCCTTGCCGCGTGGCAAGTCACATGGTGAAGACGGTTCGTCAAAACCATTTATGAGTGAATGAGAACATGACGTCGTTTTCGAGTTCGTGGAATAGGAAATTTAAGGAAGTAAATGTGGGTTTCTTTGGAAAGGGTTGTCCCATATTGAAACTTTAAGAGAGTTTTGTTGAGTATATAAGCTCTAGCCTACAACACTTGGGTTGGGCCCCAAGGGGCACCCCAAGTTTGTAGAAGGGAGGAGTTATGGACAAACTGAACCTTAGCCCAAACCACCACACGCGTGCCCCGCCGCCGTCCGTCCGTCCGGTCGAGCCGCGCCGTGCCGTGCGCGGGTGTGGGTGTGGGTTGTGGGTCGGTTCTTATATTAATTTTTTGGACAAAATTCAATATTGCGGGAATTTAATTCAAATTTGAATTTCAATTTTTTGTCCAACATTCACTACAACAAAAAACATTTTTTGGTGACACTTTTTAGCAACCAAACAAAAATTTAGTTGCCAAAGATACATGATTGGCGACAGAATATTTGTGGTCACTAAAAAATAAACATTTGGCGACGAATTTATAATTTTGGTCGCTATTGATTTTGGCGCCAAGTGAATTTCTTGCGCGGGAGCGCGAAAAAATTTTTAGCGACAAAATTAATTTATAGCGACGGAACATTTAGTCGCCAATTGTATTTGTTTGGCGACAAACATTACTTGGTCACCGAAAATCTGAATAATATTTATGGCAACCAAATTAATTTGGTCACTAATAAATTATTTGTCTTTGCCCTAATTTTTTATTACAAAAAATAGTTGACTGAATATTTTGGGTGAATAAAGAAGAAATTGACCATCACTTCTCGATTTTTTTTTCTCAGTCCATCAAAAACGGCACAACACAGCACAACGCAGCAAAATGTAGGTATGCTCTTCTTCTTCTTTTTCTTCTCTCTTCCATTCTCTCTCTTCATCTTGCTCTCTCATGCCGCCGAATGCAAAAGGCACAGTAGCGCTAAGTGGCAGCAAATCACAACCCTCTGTTTGGGTCGCTGCCTTCTTCTCTTATCTGATATTTTGAATGTATTCCCTCTCCCTCTTACTCTCCCGCGCCGCTGAATGTAAACAGCACAACAACGCTAGGTTGCAGCAGATCGCGACCCTCTATTTGGCTCACTGCCCTCTTCTGTCTCTCTCTTTCTTGATTATTAGTCTGAATGTGATTTCCATTCAATCGAAGGTGGATTTGAGATTTCTTAATACTAAAGTTTTGAATTACTATCTCTTTCGTATACATACATATATTTTTGTATTGTATGTGTATATGTTAATTGAATGGTGAGTTTGTTCGATACTGTTTATGGTAGTGTTCGATTAGTTTTGTTGCACTATGAATTGATTTCATTGAATAATCAAGCTTTTGATCTTCTATTTTTCTTTGTATTTTAGAGTTTTCGATGATTTAAGATTTCCTAATACTAAAATTTTCAAATGTTGACTAGTGTATAAACAACCAATTGACCTAACTTCTTCTCATTTTCTCATCCATGTGAAACGGCACACAGCACAGAGTGATCGGCGACAGCACTTCTCAGGTATGTTCTTCTCTTCTTCTTCTCTTCTTCTTCTCTCCCTCTCCTTCTCCATCTCCTTCTCCCTCTTACTCTCTTGCGCCGCAGATCGCGACCCTTGTTGGATCGCTGCTCTGTTCTCTTCTCTATCTCTAACATTGTGAATGTAGTCCCTCTCCCTCTCCCTCTCCCTCTCCCTCTCCCTCTTGCTTTCTCGCGCAGCCGAATGCCAACGGCATAGCAGCGCCGGGCAGCACTAGATCGGCAGCAGATCAGCAGCAGATCGTGACCCTCTTTTTGGGTCTTTGCTCTGTTCTCTTCTCTGTCTCTAATATTCTGAATGTAGTCCCTTTTCCTCTCCTAGGCTTTCAATTGGGTTATATGATAAAGAGTAAGAGAATGTCCCCATTGAGTTATTTTTCGATTGAGTTATTTTTCCAAAAAGTTCACTAACTAATCACTTCATTATTATTGACAAGCTTGTACACATGCATGCATATTCACACATTGAATACATGTTTTGATTGTGTGACCATAAAATGAGGCCAAAATGAATGAGTTTGTTGAATGTTTCTCAGTTTGAGAATATAGAGCATTGAGAGGGAAGATGTTTTTCCACTGTATGATATTTTAATACTGTATATAGTGGGAGATATAGATACCCTTCTGGGAGTAAAAAGTGCCTTTGGTCACTAACATGGATAAGAAGAGATGATTGGAGAAACACTTTTTTAGAGACTCATAATCTCATGCCGTTGAATGAGAAATCGGGTGTCCGTTGTGTTTTGTACAGAACAGGGGTTGCTATGACTCTTACTAGGTCTGACTCCAAACCTATTAAGATTATCTAAATTGTTCATTTTCTATTATTTGTCAAGCATATTATTTATGTAAAAATCAAATTGATCGAACATTGATTACCACATGATGATTGAATAAAATTTTATTTTATTTTCAAAATGAATTATTTTTCAAAATCACTTTGTTTTTAATATAAATGTGATCTCTAATCGTATAACTATCAATATATCTTATCAACCTAATTATTTTATAACTATCAATACATCTTATCAACTTAATTATGTTTATAAATTATGAATTTGTTTGGCATGACCTATTGTAACACACTTTTTTATCATTTTATTGTTTTTGAGTCGTATCACCTCTTTACATTTCTACATATCTTTTTATAAAAAAAAATAAAAAATATACTTATTTAGATTATTCTAAACCATCCTTATATATTAAAAAGTTATTACATAATGAAAAGTGCAAATCATGTTGATGGGTTTAAAGTGAGTCACACTAAATTGCCCTTTGCTGACTCGAAGCGACATGGCTTGGTAGGCTCCCCATGAATGAGGGGTGAATTGTGGTACAAGTACAAGTTGCTGGTTGGCAAATAATACTATTACTCCTGTAATTTAAGTAAAACAGCACTTTAATTTTCCTTAAAATTATAAAAATTAGAATAATATTTCATTTAAACTATAGAATTAATGATATAATTTTTCTATAATTTATTTTGAATTTCATTCTAATCTTTGTAATTTTGTACATGATTTTTTTAATTCAAAATATGATAACACAGTCAGATGGGCTACATTATAATATAATTAAAAGTGTAAAAATTAAATTAAAATTATAAGAATAAAAAATAGAAAGACTAATGATGTAATCTAGCCTTGCTGATATTACTACCAAAAACACACTTTTTATTTTTATTTATATTTTTTAAATATATTCAAACCAAAAACACACTTTACTAATTGGTCGAACCGACACAAACATTCATACTGTTTTATTTTGTTCAAGACAAAGATTTCACACCCCACTGTAGAACACCACTATCCCAAACCTGGCAGTGTTCGTAGATAATATACAATGAAGCTATTACAATTATTGCTTTATTAAGTTATTGTTTTATTAAAATAATTTTGTATTTTTATAAGAACACATACTATAAATAATATACATCTTCTTTTGTTGAAAACCATCTTCTTTTCCTTGTGTTTGACCAAAAAGCATTGATGTGTTTTGGGACATGTTGATTGAACCTCACTTTTCATATTTTTACGGATGATATCTCCTTTTAAGAAGTACAATAATTTATTTAGGTGTGTAGGTGAATTGTTTATTTTGCGCATATCCATGAGTGTCCTTATACGTTATTTGACATTCATTTCATGCCCATATCTCTTCATTAATTTCATGTATAGTGCGATTTTAATTTAAAATTTGATTTACAATTATCAATTATTATAGGTTATCGGTTAATGCAGAGAGATAAAAAAGCTGCACTCGTTCGTTGGGGGCAATTACTACATCAGGTAATCTTTGACTATTTGTTAAGGCATTTTTAATTTATTTAGAGAAGTTTGACACTTTTTTATTAAATTTGTGGGTATTAGAGGATTCACTTAATTGTATTCTTAGGATTCACTTATTGTATTCTTAGTTTCGTTTTACTATTGTGAGCATTCATGATATAACAAACAATTAGATGATCCAAGGAACTATTTGATATATAAATAAGATAAGCCCAAATATGCTAATTAGGGGGTGGTTGTTGTGTTTTGCTACAAAAATCTCAATTCCATGTCTAACTCAACAAATAAATAACTCAAATTGCTAAAATAAATGAATATGCTTTTACAAAAATAACTAAACTAATATGTAACAATTTGAAGACCATAATTTATATAGCAATTATAATTTATGTATCTATGTCATCACTTACTATATAATTCTTTTTCACTCTTTACTCTACATTGCATGCTTTACTTGAATAGTAATTCTTGCTTATCAACTATTATTGTTAGTACAACTTGTCAATAAATTACACATACCTAATTTAGTTAAAGGTATATATCTATGTCATCACTTACTATATGATTTTTTTTCACCCTTTACTCTACATTGCATTTCCTTTTTTTTTTCTTCTTTTTTTTTAAAAAATTTAGTTAAATGAGATAGGACCACTTACCTATTGAATATTAGTGTACATAATGATAAAGGAATTTCACATAACATTGGCTTTGTAGGTGACCAATAATGGACAAGAGTTGGATATTACTTAAGAATAGAATGAGTTCCCAGTATCGAGATGGGGTAAAGGCTTTTGTTCAGTTCGCAATGTCAAATGTAGGGCCAAATGGTAAGATTCGTTACCCTTGTATGGACTGTTTGAATTGTGAACAACACACTAGTAAAATTGTGGAGTATCATTTGGTCATGAAAGGAATGTCCCCTTCTTATAAGACTTGGGTGCATCACGGGGAATCTGTTCCCATGAATGAATCTCATGCATTGAATGATAACGACCACAATGACTTTGGAAGTGTTGGGGATAGAATGGAAGAAGATATAGACAGAGATCAAGATGAATTCCTAAATTTGTTAGAAGATGTTTACATGAGGACTATCATGAATGATAATGAAAATGAGGGGGATGAAGAGGACGATAACGATGATGTGGCTAACAATGTTGAAGAAGAGGATGTGCGCAACTTCGATAAATTATTGAATGATGCTCAAAGAGAGTTGTACCCTGGGTGTCGTAAGTTTTCTGTTTTATCATTGTTGTTAAGATGCTTCATGTGAAGGTGTTGAATAAGTGGAGCAATAAGTCATTCAACATGTTGTTGGGGATATTAAAGGACCTTCTACCGGTAAGTGATCAAGTGATCCCATGGACCCCTTATGAAGCCAAAAAATTCTTGCATGATAAGGCTTAGGATATGTGATGATTCATGCATATAAGTATGATTGTGCACTTTTTTGGAAGAAGAATGCAAATTTGGAAAACTGTCCGATTTGTCAAGAGTTCAGATACAAGTTGAATGTTGGAAAAGGTAAGAAAATTCCTCATAAGATCTTAAGATACTTCCCGTTGACACCGAGGCTACAGAGATTATATATGTCAAGAAAAACAGCTGTAGATATGAGATGGCACAAAGAAAAGTGAGTAGATGATGGGATATTAAGACACCCGGCTGATGGTGAGGCGTGGAAGGATTTTGATAGGCAACATCCTATGTTTTCCCAAGAGGCTCGAAATGTGAGGTTAGGGTTGGCTACTGATGGTTTTAATCCTTTTGGGAACATGAGCAACTCGTACAGTATGTGGCCTGTGATTGTTGTGCCTTACAACTTGCCTCCTTGGAAATGTATGAAACAATCATTTAGTATGTTGTCATTGCTTATCCCTGGACCACAAGCACCAGGTAGAGATATCGATGTTTACATGCAACTATTAATTGATGAGCTGAAAGAGTTATGGAAAGATGGTGTGCTTACGTATGATGCCTCAACTGAATTAACTTTTCGAATGCATGCAGCTGTTATTTGGACAATTAATGACTTTCCTGCATATGGAAACTTGTCTGGATGGAGCACGAAAGGTTATTTGGCTTGTCCCACATGTAACAAGAATGCATCCTCACAACGATTGAGAGGTAAGATAGGGTACACAGGCGCTCGTCGTTACTTGCCTGATGACCACCCTTGGCGTAGGAGTCAACTTTATAACGGTAAGATTGAGTTTGTGTCAAGACCTTTGGAGTTATTAGGGGAACAAATCTTAGAACAATTGGACTCAGGGACATACAGACCATTTGGAAAGCATCCAACCAATAAGAAAAGAAAAAGGGGAAATTCGGTGTTGAATTGGACTAAAAAAAGCATATTCTTTGAGTTGCCATATTGGAAAACAATTAAACTCCGACACAATCTCGATGTTATGCACATAGAGAAGAATATATGTGATAGTTTGCTTGGAACATTATTGAGTATAGATGGAAAGAACAAAGACACAGAAAAAGCGCGCATGGATTTGGAAGATATGAAAATAAGGAAGGAGTTACACCTAAAGAGGCGTGCCGATGGATCATTTGAAAAGCCCCTAGCATTGTACATTTTATCCTCAGATGAAAGACATGGTTTCTGTGAGTTTTTGAAGTCAATTAAGTATCCTGATGGTTATGCAGCAAACATCTCAAAGTGTGTAAGCACAAAAGGTGATAAGTTAACAGGCCTAAAAAGTCATGATTGTCATATCCTTCTACAGCGACTGCTTCCCATTGGAATGCGTGGATATCTTCACAATGATATATGTGTCACATTATTTGAGTTGGGAAATTTCTTTCAACAGCTTTGCTCGAAGACATTGAAGGTGAAGGATTTGGAAAAATTAGAGGATCGCATAGTACTCATATTATGCAAGCTGGAGAAAATTTTCCCACCGGCGTTCTTTGATGTGATGGTCCATTTAGCCATTCATTTGCCCCATGAAGCCATTCTTGGTGGGCCTGTGCAATATCGGTGGATGTACCCCATTGAAGGGAATCTGTTCCCATGAATGAATCTCATGCATTGAATGATGACGACCACAATGACTTTGGAAGTGTTGGGGACAGAATGGAAGAAGATATAGACAGAGATCAAGATGAATTCCTAAATTTGTTAGAAGATGTTTACATGGGGACTATCATGAATGATAATGAAAATGAGGGGGATGAAGAAGACGATGACGATGATGTGGCTAACAATGTTGAAGGAGAGGATGTGCGCAACTTCAATAAATTATTGAATGATGCTCAAAGAGAGTTGTACCCTGGGTGTCGTAAGTTTTCTGTTTTATCATTTGTTGTTAAGATGCTTCATGTGAAGGTGTTGAATAAGTGGAGCAATAAGTCATTCAACATGTTGTTGGGGATATTAAAGGACCTT